TATTATATCAGCAAGACATCGAAAAGGTTGAGAACAACTGGCTTAAAGGAGCAGTGTGTAGTATTGGCTGGCAGTGAAACTGAAGATTGCAACCAACTACTCGCCTTCCGAGTGTGTAGGAGAAAATTTACGGTGCCCGTGCAACTCAACTCAAGAAAAAGAGTAAAAGGGAACGCACTCCGAGATAAAAACGCCTCATTCTGAGGTCACAAAAACACAAGGATGAAAAATCAATTCAATTTCTGCCATCAATTCAATAGAAGCTCCTAAGGGTTACAGACTGGCACTTTAATATTTGTCCAGTACCTTTGGTAGACCTGCTTAACATAAGTGTGTTATCTCTCATTGAAACTGAGCATTGTGCATACAGGCTTGTATTTTTGATGGCTTCTACTTGAATTTTTGTGATTTATATGTAGCTTTTGAAAAAAGTGTCAGCCAGACAAATGCATGTAAATGTAAGATTAGAGATGCAATGAGGATTATTGTTGCAGATTATGGTTTTAGTTAGAGATCCTTAAAAGTGTGTTGTGTGTTGTGCTTTTGTGCAGAGCAGTATTCTCCAGCTGCAGGTGAATCACTACAAGGATGAAACTACATGGAGCATTACACCCATCATTCTTCTGTCATTACAGCCTCTTCTCTTGTGGTTTTCTTGGAACCTGGCTGCAGAGGTTTGCTCCCATTCAGCCACGAGAGCATTTGTGAGGTCCAACACTGATGGTGGGTGATGAGGTCTGGCTCACAGTCCATCCTAGAAGCGTTGGATGGGGTCGGTGTCAGGGCTCGCGAGTTGAACAGAAGTTCCACACCAAACTGGGGAAAACATTTCTTCATGGACCTTTGACAGGGAAGGGGGGGCATGGGAGCATTGTCGTGTTGAAACAGAAAAAGGGACAAACAAACAAACTGCTGAAATAAAGTTGGAAGGATTCTCTTAAATATCATTATGTGCTCTGGCATTAAGATTTCCCCATCTTAGAATTATGAGGTCTAGCCTAAACCTTGAAAAACAGCCCCAGACCAATGTAGACAGGACCGTCTTCATAAAAAGATGTTGCTGGGGTAATAAACATCCATACTCAGCAAACTGTTGCTGGATAACAAAGCTGTAAAAGACAGAAGTGAGGAACAGCGTGAGAAGCCCTGGGTTTTGTTTTCCATCTGACACTGATGGATAACTTAAGCCTGGATGTAGCAGTGTCTGGACCGTCCAGACCTTTATGAAATCCCGGGGATTACCTGGAGGAAGGAGCACATCACAACACAAACACACCACTCACATCCGTCACAACACGACATATACTGTATGGAGGGAGGAGTTTTACATTATGTAAAGTTCATTTTGGACATTATATTTGCTTTTGATGTGAGGATTTGTTGTTTGTGTGCCATGCTGTCACATCTAAAACAATCCACTTTTAAGGAACACACAGCCGTGACCACCATGTATTTATTACTTTATTCAAATTAGGGCTTTAAGGGCAGAGTGGTGTAGAGTTTGTTCAACCTTTATCTTGGCGTATGTAATCCTTCAGTTGACCTCAAAGTCACCATGAAATGAAAAATGACTTCTTCAAGTTGTTTGCAAAATTTTTTATCTAACAAAAAGTGCCAAAATATGTTTGCATATGTATGTGTTTTTGTATTAAAAAATGTCTCTTATAACAGTCCTCCCCTTCCAGTGAGCTTATGCTTTACCAAACGCGTGGACATAAAACAGTTTTTATTTCTTTGAAATCACACAGTGTTATACTTTTGATTGATCATCCTGTGTCCTGCCCTGAACATCCTCCTTCAATAGGAGCACATCAAATTAACGAGGCAAGATGCACGCTGCCAAAATGCTTTTTCACCTCCTGTAGATTGAAGACGTGTGGTTTGTACATTAAAAAATGGCATTATGTGAAATTACAAAAGAAAATTAAAAGACTTTACGAGCAGCATTGTTATGTAATCACTCTAATCTCCTGTTTTATCTGACTTAAAATCCTTGAAAATCCTTGAAACAAGTTAAATCCACTGAAATTATGTCAACTCATGGCCAGTTTTTACAGTTTTTATGATGAAAATTTTTTGCAGCGTGTGTGTGTGTTGTGTGTGTTGTGTGTGTGTGTGTGTGTGTGTGTGTGTGTGTGTGTGTGTGTGTGTGTGTTTCGCCCCGCTTTGTGTGATCAAGGTTTCCGCTGATAATGAACGTGCAGTGGCAGACTGAAACCAGCTACCGTTGTTGGAGGACGCTCCTGCTCTGTCAAAAACCCTCCTGCCTCCTCACCAAGGACTCCTATTCATGCTGCTGGAAAATCTCCCACATGCTGTCAGTGGAAACACAAGGGATGACCGTGGGTGCCTCAAAAGATATTCAAAAAAATAATAATAATACAAGGAAAAGAAAAGAAAAGGCAGTCTACTGTTGCTGTCAATAGAAGCAGAGTGATTTTTTGCGGGGTAGCAATAAGTTTCACATGTTGCTGTAGTCCATGCTATAATGAGAACTAACTACACTGTTCCTATTCTAATCCCACAGGATCTCACTGTGAGTCCTCGTTTGTAGGTTTATATGGCCTATATCATATCTTTATAACCTTTCTTTCTATGATATCCTTGTATAGAAGGGTGGAAGGCTAGCAGAGGTTTCACCATAGCATCTTTTTGACTTATTTCCTTCGACTGAGCTTTTGAAACAGCCTTGTCGAACCTCCTGTGACATAATTGGTCTTGAAACGCAGACTGCGAAGGAGGTGGCGCCTGGAAAAGGACACAGCTCATAAACATAAACAATAGCAAGCTCCTCATGATTTCAGGAGATTGCTTTGATTGCATTCACACCCTGCTGGATTCAAACCGTTCAACCATCCTCACAAACAGGCGTTAGCTGAGCTTTTGTCAGACTTATAATAATGGCGTACTGGGTTTTTATACGCCGCGCACAAGGCCGAATTACCATCTTGGAAGAGTGGTCAGCTGCCCCAGGGTCACAGATCTCCAGTGTCACCCCCCAAAAAAACATAAATTCACTGTGTAGCAATCAGTCTGTGGTACTTGTAACCAATAAAGCACAATATCAACTGTCATGATGAAGGCCTTAAGGTGAGTCCTGCTTTATTACCTGATCTTGAGAATCTGTTTTTGAAGAGGCACCCTGTGTCGAGATCTAGTTTTAAGACCTATATTATTACAGGTGACGTTTTTTTCTTTCAAGGTGCATATTTTCTAGCACTTTGCACACAAAGTGAAGGGAATGGGGGGCATAATAAGGGATCAGGATCAGATGAATCATGCCATGACCAAGCAGTGTATGTATGTGAATGTATGTATCTAATGTGCATTGGGGAAATTGTCTTGCAGCTACCCAAATATTCCTCATTCATTTAAGGGGAAATGGAAAATGAAGGAAAGTCACAAAGAAATTACAATAAAATTTAAAAAAACACCAACAACCAACAAAAAAAATAAAGTAAATAAATGAATTTTTCAAGCTCACCCACATTTAATTACATTTGTAATGTCATGGTAGGTTTAAAAGTTGCCAAGCAACACAGAAATATTCTTTTTTGGGATTCTGAATTGATTTACGTGGATATAATTTTAACAATAAAGGTGTAAAGTTGCACTTAAGTTAATCATACGTGTTTGCACTTTTCTCCTGGGGACGCCACAGTGGAACATTTAGGGGGGGAAAGTTACTAACCAATCTACTTTAGTGACTAATGTACTGGCTAAATGTGATCTTACAGCGACCCCTGCTGGCAGAGAGATTGAATCACATTAAAAGAGATAGACAGACAGACAGACAGACAGACAGACAGACAGACAGACAGATAGACAGACAGACAGACAGACAGACAGACAGACAGACAGATAGATAGATAGATAGATAGATAGATAGATAGATAGACAGACAGATAGATAGACAGACATTTAGATAGACAGACAGATAGATAGATAGATAGACAGACAGACAGACAGATAGATAGATAGATAGATAGATAGATAGATAGATAGATAGATAGACAGACAGATAGATAGACAGACATTTAGATAGACAGACAGATAGATAGATAGATAGACAGACAGACAGACAGATAGATAGATAGATAGATAGATAGATAGATAGACAGACAGTTAGATAGACAGACAGATAGATAGATAGATAGACAGACAGATAGATAGACAGACAGACAGACAGACAGACAGATAGATAGATAGATAGACATTTAGATAGACAGACAGATAGATAGATAGATAGACAGACAGACAGACAGACAGACAGACAGACAGACAGATAGATAGATAGATAGATAGATAGATAGACAGACAGACAGACAGATAGATACAGACAGACAGACAGATAGATAGATAGATAGACAGACAGACAGACGACAGACAGACAGATAGATAGACAGACAGACAGACAGATAGATAGACAGCAGACGACGCAGATAGACAGATAGATAGATAGATAGATAGATAGACAGATAGATAGATAGATAGATAGATTGAATCACATATATATATATTACATATATTAAACATACATTAAACTAAAATTAAAAACCCTAAACCTAAAAATAAAATGAATATAGGTACATATATATATAAAATATAAAATAAATTAACTTAATTTAAAACACAGTAGCTACAGTGAACAGTGCAGCAAATGGTAGAAGATGAAATCCTTCGATAGTTTAAAATTAATTGAAAGTTTATTTTTTAATTTATTTGCAACAAAGTTTAAAGTTTAATATTAGCTAACATCTGTTTACACAATATAGCTGACCTTCAAACCTCATCGTACCACTCCACGTGGTTTGGTAACCTTAGTGATGTGACGCAGCGCCAATCACATCGTCTCTTCATCCCATCTCGACCAATCAAAACCCAGCTTGTTCGCCGGCGTCAGCGCTTACTTGCAGAGTTCCAACGCAGACGGATGGGTCTAACCGAGCAGGGAAACTGCTGCGAGATCTGTTATCTGCGCAGGTGCGACGCGTCTTCTCCTGAATGTGCGCGACTGACACAATGCGGCATTCGAGAGGACGTTGACGAGCGATGCTCCACCGGAATACGGACGAATTACCGACCACGTTGACTTCACAGTGTGTGATTCTGTAACAGACCAACACAGCGGGAGTGCAGGGACACAAACATGTTTCGGCAAACGAAGACGGTGTTCGAGAAACTCCGATATCTGAAGTACGTTAGCTCTTAACGGTGCAGCAAGGTAGCATGTAAATTACACAACAGGCTTTTTTTTTTTTTTTTACATTTATTTTTTCTCCCCGTTGCTCATCAATAACATGCTGAGTCATTGTGCGGTTGTCCTGTTACGACTAACCGCACTGTCTGTCTGTGGCAGTGTTTGTTGTATTTGTTAAAATGTGACGCAGCGTTTGATGAGAAAAGACACTGTTGATGAATAACAGTTTCATAAAGGAAAAAGGCTTAATAGCGGTTTGTATACCTGTTATATTATTTATCTGACCTTTCTTTATGGCCTGCAGAAGCTTCGTTGTGTTTATTAATGCTGTGATTTCATAGATTTTCGCCCTCAAGGACCCTTAAACCCACACTCAGTAGACCACAGGACCCCCCATTTTATAAGATTTTATCCCAGGAATCCCCCCCTCAATCTGATCTTTGCTTTTATTTGTTTTAGTGTATTAAATCTCATATATCACACTTATGGTTATTCACCTTTTTTGCTGTGGACACCTTATGACCTTCCCAAGGACCCCTGAGGGACACCCCACTTTGACACACCAATTAGATGGACTCACTGATTGAAAGGGGTTTTCTGATGCTCATCTCAATGAAATGTTGAGATATACAATCTGCATTTGTTTGTGCGAAGACGGCCGACTCATTCTTCGTGCTGTTATCATTTGTTTTTTGTCTCAGTTTGATTGGACAGCAGCCTTCATGGAGGCTGAGGAGCACTTCAGCAAAAGAGAAGGTGGTTGAGTACCAACCAGGAGAGAAGATCCATGGCTTTACAGTCAGAGAGGTGGGTGTAACTGTACTCTTTCATTTCAACCTTTACCTTTTGTTACTGTAGCTGACATTGGTTCGTTATAACAGCCAGTAGGGCTGGACGGTAAATCGATTGTATCCATTAATTCAGATTCGTGGTTAAACACGATTTTTATTTTCAGTTAAAATCGGTTTTCTCTTGAACTTCCACAACACCGGCGCTCCCTTTGGGCTCCCGTAGGTAAGAGTGCGCTCTCTCCCCCCGCCTCTCCACAGATAAACACAACATGGCAGCAAGCCAGGATGAGCTCGTCCCCAAAAAAGGCACAGTGTCGTCGGTGGTTTGGTTTTGTGGCGTCCGACAGCGAACAAACAACGACTCACTGCAAAGTTAGTTTGAAAGCTGTTACAACCAAAGGAAGCAGTACGACCAATTTATTCCAGCACCTCAAGCAGAGGCATGCAGCCGAGTGGGAGAAATGTTGCTCTCTGTGAGATATACAGGACCGCAGCCCACAAACACCCGCTAAAACACAGTCCACAAAAGAATCGGTTAAAATCGTAAATCGGGATTTTATTTTTAAGCCATATCGCCCAGCCCTAACAGCCAGCTAACTCCTTTGGGTGAGCTTGGAAAATATGATGACATCTTTTTAAAACTTTGTCAAGGTTCATAAACGTGGCATCATTTGTGGCTTAGACGGTAATATTGTATGAACACTGTTTGTTTTACAGTTGAATTTCTCTTTATAATTTCATTAACCTTGTACCATTGCTGCTCGGTTAATGAAAGCATCTGCTGCTGTCGAACCAATGTTAATCTCAGCTGCTAACTCTGTTTTTCACAGGTTGTAGCGGTCCCTGACTTGTTTCTCACAGCGGTGAAGTTGACCCACGATAAAACCGGAGCTCAGTACCTCCATGCAGCGAGAGATGACTCCAATAACCTCTTCAGGTTGGTTTCAGTGTGTTTCTGCAGCACCCATTTTTAACTCTGTCTCTGCAGTCACACTTTACCACAGCAGGACTTGTGTTTGTTTATATAAGAGCAGCCCAGTCACAGCAGATGCCTCTTATGACTGTGTTTCAGTGTGCAGTTCAGAACGACCCCCATGGACAGCACGGGGGTGCCACACATCCTGGAGCACACGGTGCTGTGTGGATCTGAGAGGTATCCCTGCAGAGACCCTTTCTTCAAGATGCTCAACAGGTCCCTGTCCACCTTCATGAACGCTTTCACAGGTACAGAACAATCCTCAAAGTACCGAGTGATCTCTGTGAGCAAAAGTTTCATGATTATCCTGAGTAGAAAATAAATCTAGTCTTACCTCGACTAAGGATGTAGTCAGTTGGAGTTTTACAGGTTTAGTGCATGTATGTGGGAATAATCGAAGGGTTTCATAACAATCCCAGCAGTTCAGTATTTAATTGGACTTTTATTGGACTTCTTAAATGTATTATAGTAGGTTGAGTGTTGGAAATGAGTAATTAACATTCACTTGTACATACCCCAGAATACTTGATTAATTAAACAAAGAGCTGCTGTCATTATTTTACTGCTCAGCTTCAAGAGAAAAAGATATTGTTGGTTATTTAAATAGCTTTTTGCACGTGTGGTTTGTTTGTTTGCTTCGTCGTGAACAGCCAGCGACTACACCATGTATCCATTCTCAACCCAAAATGAGAAGGACTTCCAGAATCTTCTGTCAGTCTATCTGGACGCAGTTTTCTTCCCTTGTTTACGGGAGCAGGATTTCCGGTGAGTTTTGACTGTTGCTACATAATGCTAGGCTGCTAAATAGTAGCCAAAGGTAAACTTTTGGATGGATGATTTTTAGACTTAGTTGTGATTCTGTATCTCAACAGTCAGTCGCTGAAACACACAGAGTTTGCTAATATTACTTGGATAGTCTGTAATCGTTCTACCTAGTTTGAATCTGTATGTGTGGATTTTCCAGGCAGGAGGGCTGGAGGCTGGAGAATGAAAACCCCACAGATCCCAACACACCTCTGGTGTTTAAAGGAGTGGTGTTCAATGAAATGAAGGGGTTTTTTGTAAGTCAACACTCTGTACAGTGCTTATTATAAGCTCATCATATTGTTGTATTAGATTAATAAAAGAAGATTATGTTTGCCTAGTGCAGTTGAACTTTTCTTGGAACAAAGTTTAAAAAGTGTCCTGTAACCAAGAACATAAGAAAGCGCAGCTGCACAAGGAAAACAAGAAAATATATAATTTTGGGCACAAGATGAACTCGACAAGGAGTCGAAGAGCGGAGGTTAGATTAAACCAACAATCTGATGTGGTTGTAAGAATAAAAACAAAGATTACTTCAAGGAAGGGGATTGCAAAGCTTTTAAAATGAACATTCACCAACACAAAGTATCCAGGTGAGTAGTCACCGGACATAACATTGTGTAGGATTCTGAATAAAACCCCATATTGCTAGTTCCATTGCAGACACTGATTGAAATTGAGCTAATTATCTGTTTGTTCCCTTGAACGCTAATGACACAGACACATTTATTTTAATGATTACAGCCACCCAGTACAATTGAATCTTGGCACCTGTTCTGTCTGTCTGTTTGACTCTACTAGACCAGTTCTTTCTCTTTTTAACACATTGGCACAACTCTGAAATCCTGATATTAGTGTGTGTGTGTGTGTGTGTGTGTGTGTGTGTGTGTGTGTGTGTATTCTTACAGTCGGACAATGGGCGCATCTACGCTCAGAACCTCCAGAACAAGCTGTATCCCGACCACACGTACTCTGTGGTGTCAGGAGGAGAGCCTCTCGCCATCCCCGACCTTACCTGGCAGCAACTCAGACAATTCCACGCCACACATTACCACCCCAGCAACGCTAGGTAGAGGGTCACACCAGCCTAGAAAAGAACAGCAGCACATTTTTGTTCTGCTATGTAATGAGAACAGAGCCGGTTTTACCTCAGACAGCTCACTCACTCTGGTATTTATCGTTGTGAAGTATTTTCCTGCCGCAGACTGGTGCAGCCTCATCAGTTCTCATTGATGTGAGTTTATTTATGTCAGTGTGTCTCCATCTGATAAAATAAAAAGAGTCATAATCATTCCTAAAAAGAATGTGTTGCTGTCACAGGACAGGAAGAATGCAGCTTTTTAAATTACTTTTATATAAATGTATGAAACCAACACGCACACACACCCCTGACAGTGTTTTCAATACATTCTTCAGATTCTTCACATATGGAGATTTGCCTTTGGAGCAGCACCTGAAGCAGATCGAAGAGGAAGCTCTATCCAAGTTTGAATGCATCAACCCGAACACCGAGGTCCCCTCCCAGCCACACTGGAGCAGCCCTGTAAGTTCATAATTCAGACACATTACTGTGACTGAACGGCTGTTTAACATTATAAAACCCTCAAGTGCATTCAAACTCAAAGGATTCCTGCAGCATCTGACAAAGAAATACACTTATTTGCAAGTGCTGACGACTGAATTTGCTTTTTGGAAAATCCTTCAAACAACTTCAATATATATATATATTCACTGCCACTAGATGTCACACAAGAGCACCACCAACAAATGGATGGTATTCCTATTTTCAGGTAAAAATATCCCTATGAATATTATATTCCATTTCTCCCTATAGATCCTCCTAAATGTTACACATTGGACCTTTAATTTACAGAGCGAGTTGTGAAAATATGTGCAATGGAATGGATATATTGCCTATATTTGGAATGGATCTCTAGAGATAGACCTTTTTGTTAAGGGACACATGATAGTATGCATGCATGGTTAAATAGTTTTCACTTTAGAAACAGAAATGCATTGAATCCTCAGTCTGAGCTCACTGTGAATCTCATTGGTTTCCCCAGAGAGAGGACCATGTGACCTGCAGCCCTGACACTCTGGCTCCAGATCCAGCCAGACAGAACACGCTGAGTGTGAGCTACCTGCTGGGAGAGTAAGATCACTTCAGCTCTTTCTTTTTCCTGCTGTGTTGCTCGGAGACAATTGTACTCAGACTCATTTTGAAATCGGATGGCCTTATGAGAGTGTGAAGCCACGGGTGCTGCATCTTCTGTTTTCTCCTGATCTTCCTGTTTGATCTTCATTTACAGTGGCTACAACAAGATGTAATATAACAATTCTCTTTAAAAGTGAAGCCTTGTGCCTGTTATTCAATAACATGTGATTTCTTGTGCAGCATCACTGACACCTTCGAAGGATTCACTCTCAGCCTGCTGTCCTCTCTAATGGTCTCTGGACCGAACTCTCCCTTCTACAAAGCTCTCATTGAACCCAAGATTGGATCTGACTTCCCTTCTGTCGTAGGGTGTGTACATGGGCCACATGATACCAACAGAAAACATGCAATATACCAATCTGGGATCAGTTACACTTCGATTATACTAGTTTGGTTGGACAGCTAACCAATTGCATACACTTAATGGCCAGTTATGTGTCAGAATACCTACTTATCCAGCTCACATCTGGGATCAAACAAATAATCATAAGCATTTTAACATTTGTCTGTGACGAGATGATATTAAGCGTCCAACATTCATGTGGTGGTTGAGTATGTTGAAACATCCTCTTGTGCAGATATGACGGCAGCACCAAACAGGCATCGTTCAGCATCGGACTGCAGGGAATCGCCGAGAAGGACACAGAGAAGGTTAAACAAATCATCAACCAAACCATCGATGACATTATAGAGTGAGTTCCACGGTTGCATTTAGTGCCTTGATATTAATTGTCTCTTAAGCTTTAACTTGTTCTGATAAAGCAGATGTGGTTTCACAAAGGTGAAAGCTCTTCTTAAGGAACAGAAATGAGTTTCACAGTGTGTAAAATCAACTCATTTCTCATCATCGTTCACAGGAGGGGCTTCGAGGAGGAAAGAATTGAGGCTCTCCTCCATAAGCTCGAGATCGAGATCAAACACCAGACCACTAACTTCGGCCTAGCTCTGGCCTCGGTGAGTTCACTGCTGTTTATCTTTAACCTTTGACGTGTATTTATAAACCACCATGTGGGAGGTATGTTAGTAATACTGAGGATGTTAGTTAGTGTTCTCTGTACATAAAATCTTGTGTTTCTATTGGTTTTCCTGTACTGTGTATTTCTATACAAATCACAGATGTAAATATTTTTATTTGCCGATTTCCTCCTCACTTCCTCCATAACCACCAAAAGCGTGTGTTTAACAGTTGGACACATACATAAATATTAGTAAAGAGTAAAACAAGATACTAGATTGTTTCAGTGCTGTCTTAGTTAAAAGTTAGTTAGTTTCCTCATTCTTAACACTGTGTGTGTGTGTGTGTGTGTGTGTGTGTTTCTAGTACATAGCATCATCGTGGAACCATGGCGGCGACCCGGTGGAGCTGCTGCAGATTAACAGCAGCACTGCTCAGTTCAGACAGGCGCTGAAAGAAAACCCTCGCTTCCTCCAGGACAAAGTCAAGCACTACTTCAAGGTGAATGAAACTGTTGTAAATATGCGTGTTTGTGTTTCTCTACTGGAGTTGCAGAGGAAAAACATGCAGCAGTCTGGCATTCATATCTTTATTAAACTGCTGCTTGTCCTTGTACCTGTATTGCTCCCAATAGTTGGGAGTTTGGAGGGAAAAGATATATACTGAAATTGTGTACTAGAACTCATTTTGGGAACAAAAAATGTTGTAAATATTATAAAGAGGCCAACTATTACCAACTATTATCGGTTTTGGGCATCTAAAATAAACAATTACAGGCTGTAACTGTAATAAAATGGAATTAATTCTGTATGATTAAATACAGTTCAGATTTATTTGGCTGTTGTATTTATCAGGCGACATCTCCTGCGTCCTTTACTGGAAGAATATTCTAACCAGCGGCAGTCAAACAATGTGACAAAGTCACTAACAAACAAACAAAAAGCTCCTCAAGTTCATGACAGCAGACAGAGATGTCACCGGTGGTATTACCATTGTTTTAGGATTCAGTGTTAATTCATGCTTTTCAGCCCCTCTTTAAATCCCCAACCCCCTACTATCCACCAGGAGAACACACACAGACTGACCCTGTCCATGAGCCCGGACGAGGCCTACATGGACAAACAGTCCAAGGCTGAGAAGGAGAAACTCCAGAAAAAGATCCAGGCTCTGTCTGACTGTGACAGAAAAGAGATTTATGACAAAGGTAACGATAGTTTCACTGCTCATTGGTGGGAATCTCTCTCTATGTTTGCATGAAGATTATATGAGTTTTCATTAGTTAATCAGCCCTCAGCAGTTGAGCCATGGAAGGAATTCATACAGTTTTACAAATGTTAAAGAAAAGAAAATAAGTTCTAATACACAAACAGATAAAGACACTTATTGGGTGTTTCCATGTGTATATATACAGGATGTGTCACACAGTGGAGTATGTCTGCATGTATCGAGTGTCTGTAGCCAGATTCAGCCAGAGTGAACAAGAAGTTGGCCAAAAATATGTTTTTCTTCAGGGAATTAGTTCTCAGAAACCTTTTTGGCGGGACCACAACAGCGAAGCCAACCCTATTAACGTGAAAGTCCGTGACTGAGTGCTGAAGTTACACCCTCGGTTGGCTGAATGCCGACACTTCCCGTATCCATTTCAAATTAGAAGCACTTTTATACACGGCCCAGTCAGATACGAGGTTTTGACATAGTCTTGTTCTGTCTGTATGAGATATCTAGTCCATTAAATTGAGTCCATCTGTCATCAAGCTGTGGTTTGGAAACATAATAATAATGAATAAATAATGTAGAATATGGTTAGCCTCTGTGTTTTCAATGTCTGTAATATAACCAGTAGTACCAGTCAAAGATGAATCAGGATGTAATGTAACGCATCTGCTAGATGTTATCATGTATTTTCTTCTTGGAAAGGTCTGGAGCTGCTGAATGCTCAGAGTAAAACCCAGGATGCCTCCTGCTTGCCTGCACTCAAAGTGTCCGACATCAAGCCCACAATACCCATCACTCCAGTTCAGATCGGCACTACAGGTACAGCACAGCGTCCACTGCATCCTATTTGCACAGCAATCGTATTGTTGTACTCTTAAGAGCTTTCCTCTGCTGATCCCTACAGGAGGTGTTCCAGTTCAGTACTGTGAGCAGCCCACCAACGGCTTGGTTTACTTCAGAGCCATGTGTAGTCTCAACACCCTGCCAGAGGATCTCAAGCTCTATGTCCCGCTCTTCTGCAGTGTTATCACCAAGTGAGTTCATCTGTCAGTTTGTAATGACCAGAACCAGATCCACTCTGCACAGAGGAGGTTTAGAATTTGTTTATTTTAACAGTATCAGTTTTTTTTTGTCAGTTTTGTTTCCCTGGTTGAGATTAATGGAGTTATAAGTGTTCTTCCTCGGACATTTGAGGAGGACAGTTTGAGGCTCAGAGAGCACCTCAATATCACGATGTTTTGTACGGTTATTAAAATTTGAGACAGATGGACTATTGTTTCTTCTTTCTGCATGCTTCCCAGCTTGCCAAGTACATTTTAATGACTGCATGTGTTTCTGTTTGTTTAATTAGGATGGGCTGTGGAGCTCTGGACTACAGGCAACAGGCCCAGCAGATGGACCTGAGGACAGGGGGCATGTCTGTCACCCCCCAGGTCATCACTGACTCCACCCAGCTGGATATGTACGAGCAGGTCAGTGCCAGCTCAGCATACCTGCGTCTGAAACAACACAATCAAATTAATGTGAAGCCAATAAAGTATGAAGGAAAGGAAAGAGTTAGTGTAGCAGCAAACTTTTGATTTCCTAGAGCTCTTTGTGCAGATTGCAGATGGATGTCCTGCTGCATGTAAATAAGAAAAATATAAATGTGTCAACCGCAAGGTCCAGTTTGGCTCCCTCACTCAACCCAGTGCATGCTGGGATAAGCTCCAGCCTTTTGCCTCTAAGAAAAAGGATGCAGTGATTTCTTGTCTTGGTTGATGAGTGTCTCTCATTTGCTGTGTGCTCTATGTTTCAGGGTGTCCTCCTGTCCTCCTCCTGCCTGGAGAGGAACCTCCCTCACATGTTTCAGCTGTGGAGTGACATATTCAACAGGTACGTCCTCAATCACTTCATACCACCAGCAGCTAGAGACGCCAACCTAAACAAGTTCAATCTACAAACAGATAAACTTTATCTGATGTTGATTTAAATCAGCTGTGAAATGTTTTTCTTCCAGCCCCCACTTTGATGAGGAGGAGCGTCTCAGAGTGCTGGTGATGATGTCCGCACAGGAGTTGTCCAATGGGATCGCCTTCTCTGGTCACATGTATGCTATGACACGTGCAGGCCGTCACCTGACCCCAGCAGGAGACCTCCAGGAGACTTTTGGTGGGATGGAACAGGTACTGTACAGTATATGAAAACAGTCATAATGCTCAAAGTGAGATTATATGGACTCAAAGTGTTCATGTGCTACATGAGTGTATTGTGTTTCTTTTCTGTTCAAGCAATTTGTCATTAAAAATGAACAAAATCAGTTGTTAAATGTTGTATTTGATATGACAACATATCAAATGATATCTGAAGACTTTTGTCTGATGTAACACATGAAAGTGGAACCTTGTTAAATCAACAAAACATGAATTTATTATTTTATGTTTATTCTGAAATATATTCCACTCATTAATATCTTAATATCTCTGTGTTCATTTGTACAAAAGAGGTTTTATTTCCTACCTGTTGTTTCTCGGCGTCAGTAGTTTGTGAAACAGATTTTTGTGTTATTTGATTATTAGGTGAAGTTTATGAAGAGGATAGCGGAGATGTCAGACCTCAGCGGAGTCATCCGAACACTACCACGGATCAAAAAACACCTTCTCAACCCTGAGAACATGAGGTAGAATAGAATTGCTTATGATATGTCATTTTAAAGTAGGACAGATTTCTGTTGTCAGCGTGTCTTCGTAGAATGAGTTTTCTGTTGATTTCAAAATGATTTCAGTGTAAATGCACCTTATATCATCTACTTTTCTCACTTCAAATTAAAATGTCTGCTCCTTGTAGGTGCGCAGTCAACTCAACTCCACAGAAAATGTCTGAGACCGCAGCCCAGTTGGAGAGTTTTACAAAGGATATCGCTGAAAACAGAAAAGAACGCAAACCTGTCAAAACCAATATTATTGAGGTAAGATTTCAACGGGCAAACTGGACCAATAAACTATTTACAATTCAGAATTTGTCACATAACATTATATATTAACTTGTCAATCAAATAAAAATACATTATTTTGCTTTCTGTGATGTTTTTTTCATTCCTTCATTAAAGAGGCCACTAGACCCCCAGAATCCCTCTGGACCGAGCAGGAAACTCATCTCTGTAAGTTCAGTGCTGGCAGCCCTTTTTCATTTAATAGTCCACTGATCAACATCTGACACTTAGTATGTGTTTGTCGTCTATATATTGCTGCCATACTGCGTTTACTGTTATAACCAGCAGAACAGGGGTTTGTAGTGAAAGGAGTATACAGATTATCTTCTTCCAGCCCCTCAAATACATATAGTATACCTAGTAACACTAATAACATACCTAGTTTTCTTAGTCTCATGTGTTTGTAAGATGAACCTCTTTTTCAGGTAGAACCCAACATTTGATGTCACCTTGGACATTGAGAGATTGAAAGTGAAAAAGAGAAACATATATTATAAAAGCAAAACAGAAAGTCTGAATTAGGATTAATCAGCGTGTGTTTCTTACTTCACTTTTCAGGAGCTGAACTTCCATCCATGTCAGATGAAAACTTTCTTCCAGATGCCCTTCCCTATAAACTTTGTCAGTGAGAGTATTCGTGCGGTGCCGTTCTCCCACGAGGACTACGCCAGGTAACCACAGCGGCACCCGCCAAGCACCAGCAGCAGGAAGATGAATGACACTCTTAATGATCTTTCTGACAGCCACTTTCTTTCTCTTTATTTTCTCTGTCAGTTTGTACATCTTGGCGAGGATGATGATGGCAAAATATCTTCATGGAGAGATCCGGGAGAAGGGAGGAGCCTACGGAGGCGGGGCCAGGATGGGAGGAGGTCTTTTCTCCTTCTTCTCATACAGGTGGGCCGCAGTTCATTACAGTGGTCACAACTTTGGAAAGCGCTTCAATACACACTGCACAGATGTATTACATATACATGCAATGTACTCTCTCTCTCTCTCTCTCTCTCTCTCTCTCTCTCTCTCTCTCTCTCTCTCTCGCCTATCTAGTAACAAAGGGATAAAATGCCCCAGAAAAACAGAAATACTAGGTAGAATCTGTGAAATAATGTTATAAACCTCAAGAAATGGAATTTGCAAAATGAGATGGAAATCAGTGTTTGTAGGAAACATAAGAATCAGAACTGCAAATAGTTTTTTGATTAATTGATCAGCCAATTATGAGAAAATTGAGCAAGGACTATTTTTGATAGTTGATATGATAATTATCTGGTTTTAGCTCCTCAAATGTGAACATTTCTGGTTTTCTTGATCTTCTATGTTCGTAAGCTGAAGAACTTTTGGTTTTGGACAGTTTTTACCATTTTCTGGAATTTCATAATCAAATGACCCAACTGAATAATTGAGAAAATTGCCAACAAAGTGTGGTTTGACCTTCTTTTATTGTCTCATTTGTCTCTTAGGGACCCGAACTCGGTGCAGACCCTCTCTGCGTTTCGTAAAGGTGTGGACTGGGCGAAGTCGGGACAGTTCACCCAGCAGGACATCGACGAAGCCAAACTGGCAGTCTTCTCAAATGTTGACGCACCTGTGGCCCCCTCAGACAAAGGTGAGACTCCCAGTGTGATGAATCAACTGAATGAAGTGATGCATCCTGACACCAGTTACCTTAATTCACATCAGATATTTTGAGTGTTTACATTTGAGCACATTACTGGAATCAGTGAATGTTAATAATCTGTGGTTGTGTGGGTCTAGGATTGTTCCCACTTTAGTATTACAGAAGGAGATCCTAACTACCCTTTATCTTATTGTAAGATAGGAAAACAAAGCAAAATACTCTATAACATTGCTTATCAACTTGTATGTGTGTTACCTAGCAACCAACACTACTTTTCTTATCTCACTGGGCTGAACAACTTTGTAACCATTGGTTTTTTTCTCATTGAAATATACTAAAAGAATGTAGCAAAACCCTGATGGGCACTTCATTTGAAGACAGATGAGTTCGAGGGCAACATCTGTAGAGAAATCCAAAAATGTTCTTTTTGAGAAACTTACAACAGCTCTAGCTTTGGAGATAAAAGAGAGAGAGTCCTACCTGAAGACATTTGGTTGTCTAAAAGTAATACAATAGAAGCCATACAGATTAAACAAGTTAGGACAGCTCAACAGTTATCCTAAAATGTAAGTTGCTTGTGTACTACACTTCTCCTGGCTTAAGTTAGAATAGGAACATTGACTTAGAAACTCTTTATCTGTAATGGCTTTTCTCCTATATAAAGGTCCTAACTTTAATTATCCTGGTCACCAGTTAAGATAGGACCTCACACTTACAAAGTTTGTCATATGGCTCCTGGAATGCAGGTTAAAAAACATTCTTTAATCTTCCAAATGGTTTAATAATGATTATATAAACTTTAAAGCGCTGTAATGGAGGTTAGATCTTGGAAATCAACTCCAGTTTTGTTTACATCTTTGTTACTAAGCTTAGCCTGCTTAGCCAAAGTAGTAGCTACGTGCCCAGTTTGTTTTATAACTGTAAATTGAACATACTTTTGACTGTTGGTCGAAGCTTTTAAAGATGTCACTTTGTTTGGTCTAAAATGTTGAAACACATCATTCCCAATAATGGGTGTTGAGTGCTTTGCCCTTTAAATGGAGGCAGTTTGGGTTTTAACTACTACTTTGTTCACTTTGTCTTTGTGTTGCAGGAATGGGTCAATTCATCCATGGAATCACCGATGAGATGAAACAGAGTCTCCGAGAACGACTCTTCGCCGTCACTCACAAGAGCCTGGTGGAAGTGACCGAAAGGTAAAATCTTTACTTAATTTAAGAATAGTTAAGAAATGGAAATGGACAATGGGTTGAAATCTTCAGTCTACATTGGTTGTAAAACAAGTGTTCTTGGTCTTGTTTTCTTGCAGATACCTCTGTGCTGGTCAGAGTACGTGTGGTGCTGCTATCCTGGGCCCAGAGAACGAGACCATTAAAAAAGATCCCTCATGGATTGTAAAATAATCCCATCAGTAGGTATTGTAGAATTTAAAAAACGGTCATATTCCCACAGAATACCCAAAAGCAACTGTCTTGTCTTCTGAAGTGGTCGCCAAAAAAGCTAACATGCACTGTTGCCTATTAGTATCCGTTATGTGATCCTTCAGATTGACGCTTGTCCTTCCACATATTTTATGTACATAACGGTATTTATAAAAATGTCATTATTACACTATCATGTTTAAATCCCAAACTGGACTCAGCTCTTTATTTATGATCATGGAGTAAGGAGTTTTTTTAATCATCAAAACCATGTCTTTAACTTAATTTCACTGTTTTACTCTGTGGTATAAAGACTATTTGGTTCCTCTGCGGTTCAGTTTGTTTAACTTTTAGATGATTCAGGACAATATTTATCGTCTTCAGTGTACTTAATAGGACATACAAATAGTAATTTCCCCACAGGATTATTAAAGTATATCTGATTCTGATTCTGATAATGTACAGTCTTAAGTAACCAAATCACCAGTGTAACACCTAAAAAAAAGGTCATTTTTTTCCTCCTACGTACTGTAGATCAGTCATCTCTGTTTCTTAGAGATATAACTGTTATGTAAAAGCCACAGGAAATAACTTCTTTGATTTCCTTTACTTGTTACAAATTCTTGATATCAGACACTCAGTTTTAGTTAGTTATTGTCAGTCCTGACAAAGTTCAGCTATATTAAATAAAACATCCAGTACATCTCACTTACTTGCAGCGTTGCCTAACTAGGCAGGTTGTTTGGTTTTACTTGCTCAGCTTTTAGGATATCTGCCTCCAACCCAATACAGTGAAAGTGAATCAGCAGTGTGTCTGAATAATCCACTCAACTGTTTTAAATGGGGTTTAATAACACTTGAAACTGTTCAGTGCGGTTTGTGAATTATCCAGAGTTATAGGGACATGCAGCCTTTGTATGGATAGTAGATTGGTAGGTGGATTTCTGAACCTTTAGACATCTTTATGCTAAGCTAAGCACAAGAGTGGTATCAATCCTACATCACATATAAAACCACAACATTTCTACATACACCAGAAATTTAATTCGGAATCTAAAAGAAGTTACTAATAAATCTCATTGACAAATACAACTTTCCACACAATAAATGCTTTATTACTGTGACAGGACACTCACATCACACTGCCATCACATTAAGTTAATGTTGCATACAGGTTTCAGACACCCTCCACTTCACTGCCAAACTACAGCAACAGCATGACCTAACTCACAAATACCATTATAAAGATGCCACATACAAAGCCCAGAGTGGATACAGACGGCAAAGGCAACACCACAACACACACACACACACACTCAGACACACACAATTAGCAGGTGGTAGGAAACGCACGGCCAGCTTGACTCACTAAACCTCCTGTAGGTCACATTTTCCTTCAAGTTTTCATTTGAAGCATTTTACAGTCGAGATGTTAGACTGTTTTCAAGGTGTGATCAGGCGTTAGGCTGACAGCATGTGATCCTCCTGGCATATATTCTCTCTTTATGAGCAGCTTTAGGGGATTACAATAATTATGGGGCTCAAAGTGCTGTAGAAATTAATACAAATGACTGAAGCTAGACTTTAAATGCACCACCCACCTCAGCCTGGCAGTGTTAACACAACACAAAGGTTTGCTCAGCTAGGTAGCTTTAAAAAAAAAGATAGCTACATTTTTAGGACTAAAACTTGAATACTTATACAGTACATAATGAGGAGTGCATATATATATATTTAATTCTATAATAACTTTAATCGGGGGATCTAGGAAATACAGTGTCAGCTCTGCTAACAACTACGTAAAGAGCTTTCTCATCAGTCATTATCTAAAATATAGAAGATCCCTTCTGAAAAGTGCCACAATGTTTCCATTCAATATAACCTTTTAAATGACCTCTCTTAATGAATCTCTTAAAATCTACCTTAATTTATCTGCAGTCAATCAGCGGTCAATCAGTCATTGTGTGAGTAGCTGTCACGGTTTTGTGAAGCCGTTTTCTCGTTGGAGTGAAGCTCTTCTCTGGCAGCAGTGTGATCGGTTCAGATGGTCGACGAGGTGTTGGTCTCCTTGGGTCGGACCCGGGTCACGTGTTCCAGCTGGCCGGAGTCGGACACGTCGTAGCTTGTCTTGTACTTGGCCAGGATTTTCATCAGCGGACGGAGCTTCAGCCACCACTGCTCCTTGGGGATCCTGTGGCTGAGGAGACAGAACACGAGGACGACCTGTCCTGTTACTAATGCTGAGACACTGAACATTCACTCTAGCTTTTTAGTTTTGGGCTCCTCTCTACACAGAAGAGATAGAAAGAAAATGCACAGATACCAGTATTGTGCTCGTGATCAATTACTCTATTTTATGCAGATGATGGCGTGTTCTTTATATAGGGATGTTTGTACGATACGCTCAAAACAGATTTAGGACTGTAAAAGATTTGTTTATATTCAAAAATCTACAACATATATTTTCTCTATCAAATTATAGAACCCTTTTTTTGCATATTTTCTTTTCTTTGTAAACGTGAAACAGAAGTCTTTGGGCCTCCCTACCACAGTTGATATCATGATTGATTTTTCATCTGTGATTTGTGAACTTATGCTGCAGTTACACTGATTAAACAAAATGATTTATAGGATCATGTTGCAGAAATGGAAAATAATATTCATAGGTATATTTTCTTTCTAGGTGGGGCCTTTCACGGCCACTGTAGTTTCTCCTACATGTTTAAGTTGGTTTCATCTGCACTTCATTGAACTTCACTTCAATAAATCAAGGAGGTATTTTTACAGAGATTAAAACTCAAAATGTTTCTTACACAAAGTCAGTCTCGTCCCGGAGCTGTGCCACAGGCTGAAACACCATAGCTCTGCGCCGCATCCCCAACAGGCAGGCAGTGTCCTCTGAGTTGGCAAACACTCGCCCTGCATTGAACACAAGCATCAGCCTTTATGGTCAAAGTACATCCAACACGCCGTCATACACATACAATACACATACACTGATATAGACACAGCACTGATAAATCCAGAACAAGGAACTAAAAGCAAATACAACATCCTCTTAAAATCAGGTTCTTGAGTTACGTTTTACCTCCTTTGTAAGAGTCCTTGAGCGTCCGTGTGATCCACTGGATGGCTTTAGCAGCAACTTTGGTGCCAAAGTTTCTATCAAATGGTGATGGAGCTCCTCCCTGTGACACAGTGGAAAAGTATTGTTCTACTTAAAATAAGGCTAGAAAATATATCACAAAGGAGATTGGTATAATATATGGATCCAAATGATGAATGCAATAAACACTGTGCCATTATATCTTGACAAATATTCCAGTATCTCATTTTCTTAGCGACTGATCAACAATTTGCTTACAATCATTCGTTTAGACAAAAGAATTGTGTTAAACAATAACAGTGTGATCATATTATCACACACACACCCAGATGGACCCCACCTCCTGTGTGTGTGTGTGTGTGTGTGTGTGTGTGTGTGTGTGTGTGTGTGTGTGTGTGTGTGTGTGTGTGTGTGTGTGTGTGTGTGTGTTTCCAACCTGCTGCATATGACCAAGGATGTTCTTCCTACAGTCAAACACTCCTCGACCCTCCTCGGTGTACAGCTGGTAGACGAAGTCAGTGGTGAAGTTCTCATTGCAGTTCTCATTTCTAAAAACACACACATTGCAAAAGGGCGACGGGTCAGTTAAAGGGTTGGTTCACTAAAACAACTACAGTTACTCTGACAGAACTAGTTGTTTCCTTTTGATCTACGTTCTACCTAAGAAACAAAATTCAGATATCCAAAAACCTGGACAAATGAAACCAAAACTATCTGCGTGACTCCACTTGAGGCACAGTGTTTAAGTGCCCTTGAGCCAGGGCATCAGCCTGCTGCCCGCTACAACCTACAGAACCACTGTACGATGCAGCACCGTGCTCGAGTGCCGTGAATTAATGAAATTATGCAGGTGCAAACCTCAGCACACAATGTCACCTACACACGGTCCGAAATACTACATTTGTCCTATTTCTGCCTCCATCCTGCTGGGAGCAATTTAAACGGTGTGATGGTGCAGTGGACGAAAATAGCCACAATACACGACATGAAGTGTGTGAGGTCGATTAGCTGTCAAAGATATTTTAAGACCAATAGGTTTTGTGTAATTCATTAAAAAGAAATACTTATTAACTATAACGCATCACAAAATGTCAGTGATTAACAGTTAAACCACAGTAGTATGTAAATATTTTTACACTCCTTACATTGTATATACTCCCTCACTCCTCCACACACACACACACACACACACACACACACACACTCCCATGCAAAATTCCTGCAGGCTAAACAGTGTGTGTGGCAAGGCAACATCACGGAAAGAAGTGGAATGGAAAGGGAAGATTTAAAAAGAAATGGATGGTGTCGGAGCCTCACCTGAGCACTAAGCCTCTCTGGATGCTCGTCTTCATCTTCTGCGTCAAATGCTCCACGTTGGCCTGAAAACACGGAGTGAATCCTCACATTAAAACCAGCCTGCAACCTGCACGAGCAGCCACTCCAGCCGCAAATCACACGCCTCCATCTCATCACTCCCCAGACGCAGAGAGGTGCAGAGGGACCGTTACGCCAGCAGGGGGTGCCATGTTTACTGTTTCTACCATTATGATGAAGCCAGAGTGTTTTTAATGAAAAATTATGTTTTGGGAGGAATTATAGGGCTCCTCTCATCTATATATGTTCATTTCTAATAATAAAAAAACTTTTATCTTTTCCAAATATAATACTTCTGCCACACTTTTACTCAAAGTTTACATGTAAAATGAAGTCTATTGTTTAATACTCCTGTGATTTTTGGCTACATTAATAAAACAAAAAGAATGATTAACAACCTTTATTGCCACTGACTGGTATAATATTATTTACAAAGTGGCTCACACAGGGCAATAAAATAAAAAACTTTTATAGATGTGACACCCCTAAATAAAAGACATAAAACTGTAGTAGATTCAAAAGAAAAGAAAACAGGAAAGATCACAAACTAAAGTAAAATCAGGACGTTTTACATGAGCACTGTGGCGTAGAGGGGCGGTGAAATTCTGTGTATAATTTCCCTTAAAGAGATAAATAAAGTTGCAATGAAATAAATTATTCATTTGACACATTAACAGCATAAACACGACGACAGCCCTGACGTCTCTCATCAGCCTGACCTGATCTGTGTTGATGGGATCTGTCTGTGATGCAGCTCAGAGGTTATTAATAAGTTGCTTCATACACATAATCTGGGTCACCTGCACACTCCTGAAGCCTCCAGGCAGAGGCAGTGAGGACCGGATGGAAGCTGCTGCAACGCTCATGTAAAAGTGTGATCTGTGCTGCTTCCTCAGAGGAAGAATTTAACGCTCACGGTCGCCCTGAAGTTGCAAAAGCTGCCTTGTGAAACAGCTTTATTAAATACTTAAACTATAAAAAGTTAGCTGCGTGCAGACTGTATCTCTGACCTGCAGGTCCCGGATGTCAAACGGCTCCTCGTAGATGTAGACGGTGTCGGCGCCCGCAGCCAGACCGCCCACCGTGGCCAGGTAGCCACAGTAGCCCCCCATGGTCTCAATGATGAAGACACGCCGCTTGGTGCCACTGGCTGACTGCTTGATGCGGTCGCATGTCTGAATCACAAACAAATTACAGTTATTAAACAAGAAAAACGGGAGATTTGTTAATCACATGCAACAGTTATTAAAGTAGAGCTGGAATGATCAAACCTGTCAATCAATCAACAGAAAACCTTTCTAGGAAAATGAATTCCTCATCATGGAATTAATTACTGATGGCTTCAATTTCTCAAATGTCGGGATTTTCTGCTTTTTCTGTTTTTAGTTTGTGATCAGTACATGTTAACATGTGACTCACTTTGGGCTGTGGAAAACTGCTGACAATGATCAGTTGCAGCTCTACTTTGGTAGGTAACACAGGAGTAGTAATAGTAGTAAACATGCAGCCACAGTTACCTTTTACAGTCCGTGCTACAGGAAGAGTCAGATCAAACATTCCAATGTGCAGGTTAACTCATTACTGATTACACAACATTGACATACTGCCAGGTCTGCGGGTGCATTATAGAGAGGTAGGTTTTTATTTCAGTTAAAATAACACCATTTATTTATTAATCTACACTGCTTTTAAATAATCTATCATTTACTTTCATGGGTCCGTAGTTTAAGATAAAGAAATCGCCCTATTAACCTGCACTCATGCTCATTTACTGGAAAGCTACATTATTGTGAACAATTATACAATAGTGTGTGCATAATAATGTGATTTCATTATGTTCAGGATTTTATTTATGTTATACTGGACTTACAAACTGGGTGTTCTATAAGACAATAAAAGGTTTAACTCATTAACATTTGAATGGACAACACATGAAAAACTAAGGATTATTAATATTACATTTCTTTGAGAAGTTACAAGCATGCAGTCTTAACCTGGACATGCAATGGGCTACAAATATTGTATTTCTGTAGTAATTTTGTGTGAAATAATAGTATGTGTAGCACCTCACCGCCTTAAAAAATGATTCCCATATTGAAAAGAAGAGCTGGTTTGCGATTACGTGCAGATTTGAACATTAGAGATCGTCCTGTGCATACCAGGACTTCGCTCTAACCAATGGGAAGTCTAACAGATAGTATAAAGTCTTTTTTACCTCACTGTTTGTTTTTGGTTGTCTGATCTACCATTTTTTAAATCCAGACCTGACAACATGTCACATGATGCACTCTTCAAACACAAACAGCATCACAAACTTTACCAGCAGGAGGAGGATCTGACACAGAACTGCTTCCAAAATAAATGATCAATACAACATAACATCCATGCAAGTGCATTATGGTCTTTGGAGTTCAGTATTTTGGATTAGCAGGGAAATGTGTACTCACAGAGCGACTGTGGTTTCACCTCTGTTTGCTCATACAGCTCTTTAGGTTTCAGTGGATGGACAGGGATCATAATGAACAGTGTGCAGGACTGACTCAGTGGTATCTACATATCTCAACAGGCCAACCCAGGCTGTCTCTGCCTTCTGTGTTGCCACCAGAAATGTACATGTGTATGAGACTTAAAGTGTCAGTACATCAGGTTCATAAGAGGAATGGTGGTGCTTCCCTTGCACTGAATTTTAGTTTGGTACTTTAATGTGTTTGTTGTTCCCAGAAGATACTTAGGGGATTCCCATTTATGTTAGATTCCTTTTCCCTTCACTTATTGTCTTATTTAGCTGCTGGCCATTTTTACAAAGAGAGCTTATTGACGTCCATTCATTCTCTGAATAAGGCTTTAAACCTAAACATGACGAGAAGAAATGATCAAAAAGGATCAAGACATGACTTCCTAAATATCCTCTGGGGAAAACAAGGGTATCAGGTTTTGAAGTCTCCAATGAACCATTGACTTACATCAATTCAGACCTCAACCGAGACATTTTGGGTCAACCCTTTGCTTCTAAATCCACTATGCCCATCACTCCAGGGACGGTTTGCTGTGCAGTATCTTCTTCACATTAACAGTCATCATTATAGAAAAACGTGACCTCTAGCTGTTATTATTTCCTCACAATGTTTCTCTCTTGTTCACTCCGTCTGGACCCTTACCTCCACGATGGCGTTGAGGGACGTGTCAGCGCCGATACTGAGGTCGGTGCCGGGCACATTGTTACTAATCGTGGCAGGCAGCATGCACATCGGGATGCAAAGCTCCTCGTAGTCGGCCCGGGCCTCGTACAGCTGCAGCAGGGACTCAAAGGCCTGATGGTGATGGCCCGTAATATGATGTTAGACCACCGGAGGGCACACTGCATATCTGAGACCTTGTCAGTGTGTCCTTGTGTAAGGAGACTACAGTGTTTTTACAGGCTGCTTCATGGTGCACAGTGGCTCCCTTGGCTTGTAACCTTCATTACGCTGGCAAGTGACAAAGATACTCATTGTTTACAGTATGTACTATGTATTAATTTTCATATATTTTGTACTATTTTTGCAATTACTAAACAAGAAACCAATGCACTTTTCCATAATATTCTGCAGCAACAGACTTTGGAATGTCAACGTGAAACTTAAAAGGGAAGAAATATATTCGTCCAAGACTTAATACTCTTTATTTGTTGGAGCTGTTTCTACAACATACTGCAGATACACAACGAATGAACAACGAACAGTGTGAACTACATATATTTGGACATAGCTGATGCTGGTTTGAATACATCAGTTCAACAAAAGTCACATCTTGTGATTAAGTACTGGACCAATCAGCATCCTTTGAGGAAGTACTGGCAATAGGTGTGACGCAGCAGTTCATTAAATAACAATGGCAGCTGCCACAGAGGTTAGCGTAGATGCTGCCAGCGTTTGTTGTATCAGAAGTGTAAAGTAATCCTTCAGAACGGCGGGGAAAAGCAAAGAACGCTGCGGAAGGCTTTTCTCAACAGAATTTTTTTGGGGGATTTTGGTTCAACTTCGTTATATGGTTCATTAATCCGACTGGTTGAAGTCCGCCCGGTGAGACAGATCATTCAACCAATCACCTTCTGAGTATTTTTTTTTTGTAAAACTATCCGCCCTATTCCAAACAGTTCCCATCTGGGACGACTTTCAAGGTGGTTCTGTGTAACGAGTTAGAGTTGGTGACTGATAATAGAAATGCTGATTTATTTTTATTTTTCCAACCCCAACTCCAATAAAACTGCATATTTCTAATTTTTTGTTTGAAGATATCCTCAGTGACGCTGATGGATGAAGATTCTGAGTTAAAGAGTTTGTAAATGTACTGAACACCTCCAGTCAGCACTTTACCACCGAGGTCGAAGGTCACAAGCAAAGGGAGTCAATTAAACCGAGCCCATGAAGATGCAGCTCTGTGCTGTGTATGGTCTGCAGTCTGTGTGCTGCTGGTTGGCTCTCTCCAGGTGACGGGAAAGGGGGGGGTGCTTTGGCTTCCCATTGGCTGGGGGAGATGGGATGAGGGGAGAGGGAGTGGGGGGGGGGGGGGGGTTCAGCCTGGCTGACATGTAACGGTGTTGACGTGACAAGATAAAGATTGGGGAGGGACTCCGGAGGCTCTGAGCCATGTTTCCTTTTATGTACAGCGAAGGGATTTGTCTTTCCTTTTTTAAATTAGACATGCAGACAGGTTGAAGTCAGGTAGACGGGCCTGTCCTGGTTCAAAACAATAACAAGACTTAAACGTACACAGCATTCAGTGATGCTGGACTTGTCCGTGCCCACACAGCATGCAAACTTACTCTCCGGACCCACGGACTCTGTGCCATTTGGATGAGGCGGAGCGAGCACAACGTCCCTGTTGCGTTGAACGCCGCCATCTAGTCATCTGCTGTTTCCCAAACAAACACATAGAGGGGGCACGCACGAACACGGCAGGGGCCACGCGCCAAAAACATGCCACAACACGTCACTGCATGCCCCAACACTTACCTGGGACCTCCGCTGAACCGCTCGCCTCCAACAACAACCAGTGTGTTCTCTCTGTGTGAGTACATTAGCCGAATTCTGCTTACTGCCTTCTGTGACTGAGTTTCTCCAGTTCGATTGGACCTGTGGCTGCAGCATCTACCTCATTAAACTAAATTAACTAACTGAGATTTAATTCAACAATATTATTAAAATGTGTCACTGTCTTGTATGCCAAGTTGTCTGAGAATGTGTTTGAGTCCTTGTTTTCATACTTCTAATGTGTACTGTACCACCATCATTCACTACCATTATGATAGGGCTTTGTTTACGGGAAAGCAGAAGGTTACGCCTGTACATTCGACGTAGGTCTATGAAAAACCTACTCGTAGGTTCGGTGGTTGAGTGTCAGGCTGTCTGTGTTTACACAGAAAATATTACAGCCCACTGACACTGTACAGCAGAGGTCCTCAAACTTGTGCACACCTTTGGAAGCCATAATAAACCCAATTACAGTGCTGTTTTTAGCAACTATTAACAATAGTATTAAAAAGCAATGTTATTGTATTGAAATTATATTATTTATAGCATGAACTGCATGTTTCTCATGAATTACACATAACATAAAAGAGGCTTTCACACTATATTGACACATTTGCTCAATAAGCATTACTTTTTTTTATTTTTCTTCTCTGTCAAACGTCCATATTGTACTTTACATGTGGTTTACCTTTAAATCTTGTTAACCTGGATCTTGATAGTCTTGCTAGCTAATGTTATTCCCTAACTAATAAGATGTATCTGATCGTAGCTCCACTCCACATTTACCTTTGCAGTAGAAAAGGCTCTATGCTGCTCGAGATGTAGGCGAGTTTGAGAAGCAGACTTTCTATTTAAAAGGAAAACGTATAATAGGATATACTTTGAATTTCTAAATCAATATATGTGCACATTATCTGCAACTCTTCTATCAATGCTTTTTGAACTTCTAAGCATTGCATTCTTAGCAAAAACTGTTTATTTGTCTATATATAGATGGTACTGCATGTCACAATAGAAAATATTTGTCTAACTGATTGTTAATGCGAGGATGCGAGCGGTCGATCAGCGAAGCCCCAAACTCGGACAGGCTGGATGGTGTGTGTGTTCGGTCCGACAACACACACACACACACACACACACACACACACACGCTCTAACCCAGCCACACTTACATCAGTAATGGCATTCAGAGCGGTGTCTGAGCCAATGCTGAGGTCTGAACCAGGTATATTGTTGGAGACGGTGGCGGGGACCATAACCATGGGCACACAGAACTCGTTATATTTGTCCCGTGCAGCAGAAAGTTCCAGTAATCCCACGTAGGCCTGCAGCAGTGAGAGCCAGCGTCTTATTGGTTGTTGTTAAGGATGTACAGACAAAGGGAATGAGGTGTGGGAGGAAAGTGAAAAAGGCGTAACGCCAAGGTCTTTGCACGTTCAGGGGACAAGAGGACAAAGGCCAGTGTTTAGTGAAAGTCGTGGTGGGAGGAGCCTGGAACTTGCTGTGTCCAACTTCCATCCTACATACAGTTAGTATACATTATCCACTGTAATGTATATCCATTTCAAAGTCAACTGCTGTTAGGTTTTTTGCAGTTAGTATATGAGAAATCAATGTAATGCAGTAATCCTTCAGATACAGAGCAAAGCTATCATTCCGGTGGACTCATGTTTGTGTCCACATGATGATGTGTTAAATATCCACCTCTCTTTTAGCTGTTGGGTCTCCACCAACAGAAACATACCTCACTCTTTAGCTGCTACAAGTTCCACCAGATCATCATTGATGAAAACTGATGGATTTCTAAACAGTACAACGTAAAGGACGAGCTAAAAGAGGCTAAAGTGCTCCTCAGAGCTGCAGATGCGCTGTGAGCGAGCCCTTTCACACTGGTGCAGTTTTTGTTATGAATCAAGCATGAAGAGAAAGCTCTTTCTGTATTTGCAAGTCGTTTTAAATGTTTGTAGCAATTAGTAGCTCCTCCACTTCCTATGTACACTGCATTGTGGGAGAATAGTGTTCATCAAGAGTAAGTTAAGAGTTAAGCTCACTAATGCATGCTGGCTGAACACAACCAAATGTCCTTAGAACTATAATGTATGTAGATTGAAACTTGAACACTGGGTGTGATGAGGAACATGTGGCGAACTCTCAGTGGTGATGGGGAGGGGGGGGATTTGAGGTGGGTGGGGCCAGTTGGGGGGAGATAGATCTCAAGAGCAATGTAACGAGGAGGATCAGAGATAGCAATGGCAGGTGGGACAGACAGAGGTCTGGGAGGAGGGTACTGGTGGGAGAAGCCAAGGGGGAGAGAGCCAGACCATCACGGCGGACATTGAGACACACAGAAAGACAGACAGGGAGGGGAGACAGTGTCCATGTCCTGGCCAAGCTGCCAAAGTCAAAAACTGCTGTACTTTTATTTTTATTTTTTTATTATTCTACTATTACATTTTTTTTATTTTTTTATTTAGAACTCTAAAAATGTGTTTCAATTAGTGATGGCTACATTTTTTGGGCCCAAATTTTAACTTGCATACTTTATGGGCCCAAATTTTAACTTGCATACTTTATAATTAGTGTTCAACTCTGGGAGGTTCCTAATATAAGACAGTCTCTTTAACATCTACTTCACTCTTTTGCTAAATACTAAATCCCTGTTTGGGTTAAAGCCATTTTTATGACTCTGATTGAGTCTTTACGCACAAATCATCACAAGCTTTGGCTTTGCAGCTTGGCCGTAAAGTAATAACCATTTATGGACAGACAAGGAGAGAGCCTATAACATATACATGTGTCTTAATTGTATTTTTAAAATAGTTAGAAGTCAAGACATGTTTTGCAAATTCAAATATCATATAAAGGAAAATCAGTGAAAATGAAATGGCAATGTTAAACAACACAATACACAGTGAATGTACAGTAAACTACTGGAAAGAGAGAATATTGCTGTATGGCAGGTACAATAAGGCTGACTAATAATAATTCAGATTACTCAAGAATTCTCCTATTATACAATTATAAGCTTTGAATTATAAAACAGAATGAAATAAAATATAAAGTATAATATAATACCAACACTGGTCAAAAAAAGGTTGAGAAAGCGACAAAATGTTGTGAAATTAAGATAAAAACTGCCATTATGCTCAAAAATCAGGTAAAGTTACAAACCTCAAATCCTCCGATGACGAGCAGGGCGCTGATGTTATGGATCCGAATCTGCTCAGCAATCTTATCCAGGTGTTTGCCTGGAAGAGTTCTAGCATATGGAAAAGGAGCTAAGTGAATATTTGAGCAATGTTCAAAGCAACTCCTGTTAAACTGTTTGTGGAGAGTTACGATGGGAAAGGAAAATGACAACAGCGAATTGTCAGAAGGATGGATTGAGATTTGTAAAGAATTCAGATAGGATTAATAATATCTACAGTCCAATCATTACAGATGATTTTATTGCACATCTGCACTGTTTTAAACTTCATGTTACCGTTTGGTCCCCAGCAGGGAGCCTCCTTGGCCAGTCCAACCACCGACATCTCCCCATTTGATCTCCTTGATCTGATTTAAAAAAGAAAAACAGAAAGATATAATAATTGTGCACGATTGTGGTAAAAACATCATATTGCGATTTCGATATGATTCACAGTTAGTGTGGGATTTATCATTTTTGTCATCAGAGATTACATTTTCACAGAAAAAACGTTTTTTTAAATCTGATTTGTATCCCAGGGCATATCTGCACAACTACAGTACTTCATTATAATGCTGTTTGTCACACATTTTATCTTTATCAAAAAAATGCTGTAGCAATTTCAGTGATAATGCAGATCCACAGACCTCACTGTCTGCAGATTGTATTGAACTTTCTGCAGATTATCCTAACAGGGACACTGAATGCCATTGTATTGTGCGTTACTGTGCAGGCGTAGCTACATTGAACCAGCAGCTCTACATTATAATCAGTGTCCTACTTAGTTGGGGTTTTAGCCAGGGATCACAGTTTCACTTTTCAATCAAGTCTAATCCCTCTAGATAACAACTCGCCTCGGGGCTTCATCGCTTTCAACAAGTCAGTGCTACTCTCTGCACAGCTGAAAAAGTGTTTGTGCATTCGTGGAAAGCACGCATGCGATCAGAAGAGTGTGACCAAATACAAAGACAGCTGCTGTGGGAGCCGAGTAATTGGCTTACAGTAAGTAGCACTGTTTATCTGGACACCCTTAAGTCTTATCACTGTGTGGGAGGAGAGCGACTGCGCTGCCACTTCCTGCTCCCTGTTATTGGTCAGTCAAGTCACTATGACCTCCAAGGAATGTTTACCCTTAATAATAAGTGCTACTAGCTTTAAGAAAGTCTATAGGGTGGGAGTAGAATTGGCTCCTGGACTGCTGAGGAATGCTGGAGCCAAAGAGGCAGTGCTATTTATGATAGAGAGGTGCAGAGTGAAGAAACAACAGGTACAGGCAGAATGAGCTGACCAATCAGGTTTCAGCAGTGTCAAGTTCAGGTGAATAACGTGCTGCACATACTCGAGTGTACACAGTGTGACTAATATTTATTTAGGTTGAACACACTTCTTCTCTTGCCAGCTCACAACACTGAGAGCATTATTGGGCAAGATCAAATCAGTACAGACTTCATTATTGAATTTTGAAATTGAAATTTGTTGCTAAGGCAAATTTTTACTGACTGTTATTTTACTCGTATTATTTTCTGATACGAGTAAAATGCTTTCTAATTGGAAGAAAATACCATTGATTTAGGACAAATGTAGTGCTGAAATGATCAGCTGATGACAGAAAATGAACCAACAACTCTGATAATTAATTGTTTCAGTCATGGACCAATATTGTTTGGCTCATTTAAAGTACAAATTTTGAGGAAAAAACACACAATTCAGGCTTTTATTCATAAAAATAATACAAGTAATTTGAAGATTCTATCTTCTAGGAAACTGTACTGAGCATTTTTCACTCTTTTCTGACATTTTATAGGCTACACATTGATAAATTGAAAAAAATAACTGAGAGATCACGTGAGGCAGCCCTTGACAAATGTACTGTAAATAAATATGTACACCATATACTTGCATGTATCAGTTTCAACTCTTACCTGTCCCTTGTAGAATCCCTCGAAGCCGTCGTTGACAGCAAACATCTTGTGGCCCTCAGTGATTCCCACTCTGACAGCAGAACGCACGGCGGCGTTCATACCTGCTGCCGGGGCGCCGACGTTCAACACTGCAACGTTAAAGGAGCTCTGTGGGTGACAGAGAGCAGCAGTCACACACACACACAGTGGACAGAGCAAAACCGGGCACTCATACAGGGTGCCCTTATGCAACAACACCCCCAAGCTTTGCCACATTTTAAAAACATCTTCTCGTGGCGCAGGTCTTACATTCAGTGTACAATCACAGCATGTATGATGCTTGGTTTGAAGAAGATGGTATATCAGCATCTTTTAGAGACAATGAAGACAAGCAGTGATTTCTGCAGCAGGACATGAAGTAGGCAAATTTGATTAAAGATACTAAAAAAGAAAAAGCCTCTTTTAACTTTTAACCCCCAAAGAACATTATTTTCAAATTAAGAACAATTGTTGTCCATGCCTGACAGGACAGTTCATCTCCACTGCCTGATAATACCATCCATGTCTCATTAACTGCTGAGGAGCCAGGCAAGACTTTGCCTCAGAGCAGAACAACAGCAAGCAAAGATTACCTTGCATGCAAGAAGCCACATGCTGCTAAAAGACGCAGTGAAGCAGCAGCTGCTCTCTCATGACAACTACTGAAAATAGATCAAATGCAAACTTTCACTGACCATCCAAAGTTTTCTTGCTATTAAATCTTAAATCATCTGTGCCACTTGTTGCTGAGTGTACGGCGACTTTCAACCCCTGATATCACAGTGCACATGGTCCATATTTCACTTGAAGCCCACAGAGTTGTGTGTACAAAACCCACATTTGAATGCAGGCCTCACACACTCAAAGGCCTCATTTGGTGAGTGACACTTGGGTCAAAGGTGCGCTGGGAATTGATGACAGATTGGACCTTGAAAGTTCACCTCTCCTAATTCTTTAACGGGACAATTGGGGGCATGGGTTAAATTAAAGAACATGAAGACAATGTTGAAACGCTCAAAATGGACAGGCGTCAAACTCTCAGCTGCTGATGAACTCAAAATGTAACAGAGTTTATCAATATTTATTTCACAATTCCACCTTAGTGAAGATAAGTTCAGTGAATATACTGAAAAATGTCAGGTATTGACAGTTGAATGCTTGGTTTCTTTCTTTGATCAAACATTTCCTGATCTAAGTCCTAACTTTCCTTAGACTGTAGACTGTAGTTTTAGTCAAAGTTTTCATGTTTCCTTAAAGAGAAGAATGGATCTGCACTGACAGCAGCCTTAATCATCATGAAGATGTACATTATTTTTCACAGCTAAAAACATGTCCAGTGTAAGCCTTGTATCTGTAAAGTCTACAAAAATGTTTCAAGAATCCTAAAGATTAGGCTCAGATTGTTATTCTAAGTTAACATTATGGGAAAGGTCCCTTTTGTTTAACCAGAAACAGCCATAATATCGCTACTGCTCGCCACCAGACTTCATTCGTTCATATCTTCTTCCCACTGTTCTGTTCTAGTCTGGTTGAAATAAAGACTTAATTTACTGAAGTAGATGAGAAAAACAGCAGTGTAAGTCGCTCTCCTTAGTTGTTCTCGGAGGGACTCGCGTGCACAGATGGGATAGCAACACAGTTAAAGGGAGTGTGCTGTCAATCTCAGGACACCATGACTCCACCATATCTTTACATGGCAAATAGTTGTTTGTTACCATATTAATGTTTTAAATCTCATATATATATATATATATAGCCTCATATAGCCTTTAGAGCTCCACAAACCTGCGTCTTCATTCCGACAGCTAGGCACCATTTTGAACAGAGAGCATGGAGCCTGTCCAGTTTGAGTTATGAATAAGCATAGACACTTTCGGCCACGGCCTCCACAGACTCGACATTAAACTGTAAGGAGGACTACTTCAGGTTCATTTGAAGCAGATCACAGCCGACGCAGTGATTGTCCTTGACAGTGGGGCTGGTGGGACGCCTTCACTGAAGCACTGACACAACTCTTTGCATGTCTTCTACTTCTAAAGCAGAGCCATGAAGAAATAAGCAATGACAGACAGAGCGACAGATAATGAGCGCTGACACTGTCATTTTGTGGCACCGTGTGACCATAGAAACGTATGTAGGAGTAAATTATGTCTCTGTAAAATAAAAGTTTAGTCCTAGAAAATCATTAGAATAAATACTAAGCGATAAACTAAAATCTAAATTTTATCTCAGCATGGGGGAAGTTAGAAGCCAAAGTGAATAAGGATCAACAAAAAAGTCTAAACTAGTTGCTGAAAAGCTCATCTGCTCTGTGAACTACGCCCGCAGAAGCTTCAGAAGCTGACCTAGAGCAAGTTCAGCCTCATTAATCATCACATACATTGAACTGCTCTTCATCACCCGCCACCTCCTCTCCCTCAGGACAGAGACAGTCACAGAAAAACAGACTCTGTTAGTGTCACAAAAAGACTGCAGCACCCACAAGGCACCTGGCCAGGAAGTACCTTATGCTACCGTACAAATCTCAGAGCCGCTGGTGGAGAGATTAGAAGAATTAAAATTGTGATGCATTATTGATTTGATATGATCATTGTTTTATTTATGTTTATTTGGTTGTGAGGGCACTTACATTTGGAAGCTCAGAATCTGCTTTCCGGTAGGAGAGGAGTCTGTAGGTGCTCAGATTGTTTTCAAAGCTCCTGCAGATAAATAACACATGAAAAAGTAAATTAGCAGTTAACAATGTCAGCTCTGTTGCTGCTGTAGAGGAAGCCTTCAGAGTCAATCAAAAATCAATGCACACACTTTTAAACCGGGGCACAGTGCCGAACAGACAAAAGTGCTGTCTGGACCTCAGATGAAACTGGTGGGAAAAGTAAGTGACTTCTTCTTTATTTGATCATATCAGAGTAGTTGAAGTTAAAGAATACCTGCCACGCAGTCTCACTGCTTCTTCAAACTTCTTCTCATCCATGGCCTTCTGAACCTCTTGGGTCTGATGACAAAAAATAAAAGCGCTTCTTCACCACACATGTCAAAATCTGACTTCCCGGTTCTGTTTGAGTGTGTCTGTGGTGTGCTTGTTGTCCTATCTGTGCTGCAGGTAAATGGTGGGTGCCAAACTGGGAGCACCTGGGCACTATTCCACCTCACTCCCCTTAAGAAAAGTGGAAACTACAAGACTTTGAAAATCTCTGAACACACTCTGTCCCAGACTGTTGATGTGAGGGTGCAAAAACTACACAAATGATCTCAGACCTGCAAATGTACTAATTACAAGATTACAAAATTATTGCAATATTACAATTAGGACTGTGGCAGTTTTGCCAGTGCAAATGTGATGCATCCTTCTCCTGACGTTGAACTGAAACTGTAACTTTCTGTTTTGGACAACAACATATTCAGGGCTGAGGGTTTAATTCCCACAGGTGCTTATTTTGGGTGACAGTCCTTGTCACGTTAAAAACAAATATTCCAACCACCTGAAGTGATTAATACTCTCAATCTGTTATAAGAAAAGGTCAAGCCTAACGTGTAGTGGAGCAATCTCCTTTTCTGTGACCTCTGTCTCTCCAACATGTACACACACACTCTTACCATCTGAACACACTCCATAAGTGGTAGCCGAACAGCCTGGTTGCCAACCAGAGACACGACGCAGGCCGGGGTGCTGGCAGAGGCTTCCAGTAAGGCCAACACTGCCTCCACGCCCATACGACTGGCCTGCAGAGGTCATTTAAAAAGGTCAATACTGAGCAGTAGGATGTCTGCAATGCTGCTCCATTGAGAACCATTACAGACACTTACCAGGATCCTGTCAAAGGCAGAGGGGGTCCCACCTCTCTGCACATGGCCCAGGATGGTGACCCTGGTGTCAAAGCCCAGGCAGCGTACCACCAGCTGCACATGGAGGGAGAGCGAAGTGGTGGATGATAGTGAGTGGTCGAAATAGAAAATGTGTACAACAATGTCCTGTAAAATCGCTGCTATACATTATTTTATCTTATCACATTTCAGGACAAATAAAGCAATAATACTAATAAAGAGCTGTAACATGAATTTAAAGGGTCTGAAAATGACTGCATGAAAACCTAAGCTCATATTCTTACAAACAATTGCTCTTACTAAAGCTTAAACTCACAAAAAACACAACTCAGCTGTCTAATAGAGCATTAATATAATATTCATTCTTTGTAAGATTTGATAGCATCTTAAAATGAAACAGTCTTAAGAAAATGCAGAAACATGAGAGATGATGCAAAAAAAACCCAAAGAAAAACAGAAGGAGAAATCATGCAAAACCTCTGCTGTCATGTTGAGAGTACCAATAGTGTGCATGCAGGGTGCGATGGGACATGGTGGGAATGAAAACATTACTAAATGCCTGATGGAAATGAAAAATAAAAGGTGAAAAGCCAACACACATATGAGACATAAGACAAAACTGTGTGGCATGTGCTCGATGAAGGAAAAATAAATCCATGCTTCTGAAGAAGAGTTTGTGGGTTCCGTAGCTTGATCAGGCTCCTCCACCGTACTTACTTCCTTGATATAATCGGGAGTTATTGCCTTGTTGTGGCAATCTATGGCACCCTCGGCTACAATAATAATGTTCAGCCTTTTCTTATCGGCGCGGTTCTAGAGGGATATACAGAAGCAAAAGCATTTAAAAACATGACAGAAAACGTTTTGCACCGCCAAAAGCTGGATCCAGTAATGGAGGATAATCTCAGGTGATAAACCTTCATGTCTTTAAAGGACATGTTGACTTTTAATTGTCTGTCTTTCTTCAGCAGGCACTTGCCACATTGTGGAAGAAGTTTTAAATTTACAGATACCCTGTTGGGTTGCATTTTAAACAGTTAACATGAAGTGTTTCCCACCAAAATGTGTGTATCCTTGGGGCCTTACAAATGAATGCGTTTCCTTCATCATAAAACATTTCAAAAGCACATTTTAAAACCTCCACTGTTCAATTCAAGGAATTCCTGCATGCTGGCAAGTAATCTTCTTCTTTGCCTTTTTCTGGCAAAGTTTCAGATTACTGCCACCAACTGTCAGTCAGAGGAACTGAAACTGAAGGACATCATATAGTCCCCTCACTGAGACAGAAACCTTCTCTCAGAATGTGGCAAGTGTCTGGACAGAAAACAATGAGAAAACACTGTGCTGTAGCTCTGTTAGTGACGTCTGTTCATCAGACGTACTGATTTCCACCAGTTGGTCCAGCTTCTGGTTTCTCCCTCTGTCTCAGTCTGAAACTGAGCTCTACTCACATCCTTCACAAAATCAGAGGTAATGGGTTGTCCTTGTCTGTCAATGGCTCCTTCAGCAACTATGATAATGTTCAATCTGGAACCTCGAGATCGGCTCTGGACGATAACAAACACACTCACCACATCAAATCTACTGAAGATGTATCAGTCAGTATCAAATTATGCCAAATCTATATTGTTAATAGCTAACTGTACAATTGGGTACTGGCATAATATAAAAATATTTAGTAAAAACGTTCTGTAAAATCCTGTTTGTCTTCAAATTATCTGATGATCTAAGCTAAACATATATAAATTATATTATGTAATACATGGGACTATGTGTGTGTGTGTGTGTGTGTGTGTGTCAACATTTAAAGACAGCTTTCCTCCTTGACATCTGTTTAAATGGTGCCTTTAATGGGGTTGTGTTTAAGGTCTGTAAGTAAAGTTGAGATGAACAACCAACTGATGTCGTCATTATAACTTTTAAGTGTGTATTTTGTGAAAGCGGAAAGTTTGTGAGTTTGATTCTCTGGTGCAAATGGCTCTGTAGCGCAATGGATAGCACAGACAGACAGACACACACACACACACACACACACACACACACACACACGTGTGTGCTCTTGCATGTCAATTTCCATTATAAACACGCTCCTTTAGCTACATAAATAACCAATTGATGTGGTTGTCAGAACTTTGTAAGTGTGTATTATGTTAAAGTTTCAACTGTGCGAGTTGCATTTCTCTGGCCAACTGTCTCCTCTTTGAAGGCTGATTGTTTGTCCTTGGTGGGAGGGATATTTCTGGCTGGAGTAGAGGGTAGGTTGTATATTTAGACAGCAGCTGGCTCTGTGGCGCAATGGATAGCGCGTTGGACTTCTAGTCAGGCACTTGAGTTGTCATTCAAAGGTTGTGGGTTCGAGTCCCACCAGAGTCGTTACTTTATGGGACAATGTAAAACACAAATCCCTGTTTTCTTTTTGTAATGTGGATTATGGATGTTAATCCACATTACAAAAATACAACTTTAGATATTGGCATGCACTTTTATTTCCCACACAAATCTGTGTAGTACGGTACGTTGTCTTTTCATTATAAAGACTCTATACTAACTATACTGGTTGTTGTGTTTACGGTGTGTACAAGTAAAGTTGAGATGAACAACCAACTGATGTCTTTGTTACAACTTTGTGTGTGTGTATTGTGTGAGAGCGGAAATTTTGTGAGTTTAATTTTCCCATCTAAGAGGCTCTGTGGCGCAATGGATAGCGCATTGGACTTCTAGTCAAATGCTTGAGATGTCATTCAAAGGTTGTGGGTTCGAGTCCCACCAGAGTCGTTACTTTAAAGGGACATGCTTTAATAGAGAAATTGTGGTCTTAAAGTAAATTAAAACATTCTCCTCTAGCTCTTGGCATGCACTTTGATTTCCTACTTGCATGAACAAGTTGTTGATTCAAATGTTGTGGGTTCAAGTCCCACCAGAGTGATTACTTTGAAGAGACAGACGTTCATAAAGAAATTGTTCACCTACTATACATTCATCTAAATTAAAAACATAAAGTAATGTACATTGTTCTTTCATTATAAACAGACTTTAGATACTGGCTTTATTTCCTCTTTGACATCTGTTTAAATGGTGCCTTTAATGGGGTTGCGTTTACTGCGTGTACAAGTAAAGTTAAGATGACATAACTTTGTAAGTGTATATTTTGTTTCCTTTGGCTGTTGGCATGCACTTTGATTTCCTACTTGCACAAATAAAACACGAAGGGCCCTATCTAGAGACAGTGTTTGGTTTGTCCGTTCTGGGCTACTATAGAAATATGGCCGATTTCTGAAAAGTAAGTGTAGATGACAACAGCTCATTCTATGGTAGCAAACATACAATTCCTTTTTCCAGGTGATTATACTCTATTGAAAACATAAATATTATATTCTATATCTGCCAATAAATCCTCCAAAATGTAAAAAACTGGACTTTTAAATGATGCCTTCAATGGGATTATGTTTACGGTGTGTACAAGTAAAGTGTAGATGAACAACCAACTGATGTCTTTGTTACAACTTTGTGTGTGTGTATTGTGTCAGAACGGAAAGTTTGTGAGTTTAATTATTCAACGTAAACGGCTCTGTGGCGCAATGGATAGCGCATTGGACTTCTAGTCAAACGCTTGAGATGTTATTCAAAGGTTGTGGGTTCGAGTCCCACCAGAGTCGTTGCTTTAAAGAGACAGGCTTTAATACAGAAATTGCTGTCTTAATGTAAATTAAAAACATTCTCCTCTGGCTGTTGGCATGCACTTTGATTTCCTACTTGCATGAACAAATGTGAAAGGGCAACTGTAGAAACATGGAGGATTTCAGCAAATAAAGTGAAAACAGCTCATTCTGCTGTAACAAACACACAATTCTGTTTTTCAGGTGATTACACACTAATGAAAACATCAATATTATATTCTATATCTGCCAATAGATCCTCCGAAATGTAAAAAACTGGACTTTTAAATGATGCCTTCAATGGGGTTGTGTTTACGGTGTGTACAAGTAAAGTGTAGATGAACAACCAACTGATGTCTTTGTTACAACTTTGTGTGTGTGTATTGTGTGAGAGCGGAAATTTTGTGAGTTTAATTTTCCCATCTAAGAGGCTCTGTGGCGCAATGGATAGCGCATTGGACTTCTAGTCAAATGCTTGAGATGTCATTCAAAGGTTGTGGGTTTGAGTCCCACCAGAGTCGTTACTTTAAAGGGACAGGCTTTAATAGAGAAATTGTGGTCTTAAAGTAAATTAAAACATTCTCCTCTAGCTCTTGGCATGCACTTTGATTTCCTACTTGCATGAACAAGTTGTTGATTCAAATGTTGTGGGTTCAAGTCCCACCAGAGTCATTACTTTGAAGAGACAGACGTTCATAAAGAAATTGTTCACCTACTATACATTCATCTAAATTAAAAACATAAAGTAATGTACATTGTTCTTTCATTATAAACAGACTTTAGATACTGGCTTTATTTCCTCTTTGACATCTGTTTAAATGGTGCCTTTAATGGGGTTGCGTTTACTGCGTGTACAAGTAAAGTTAAGATGACATAACTTTGTAAGTGTATATTTTGTTTCCTTTGGCTGTTGGCATGCACTTTGATTTCCTACTTGCACAAATAAAACACGAAGGGCCCTATCTAGAGACAGTGTTTGGTTTGTCCGTTCTGGGCTACTATAGAAATATGGCCGATTTCTGAAAAGTAAGTGTAGATGACAACAGCTCATTCTATGGTAGCAAACATACAATTCCTTTTTCCAGGTGATTATACACTAATGAAAACATAAATATTATATTCTATATCTGCCAATAAATCCTCCAAAATGTAAAAAACTGGACTTTTAAATGATGCCTTCAATGGGATTATGTTTACGGTGTGTACAAGTAAAGTGTAGATGAACAACCAACTGATGTCTTTGTTACAACTTTGTGTGTGTGTATTGTGTCAGAGCGCAGAGTTTGTGAGTTTAATTATTCAACGTAAATGGCTCTGTGGCGCAATGGATAGCGCATTAGACTTCTAGTCAAACAGTTGAGATGTTATTCAAAGGCTGTGGGTTTGAGTCCCACCAGAGTCACTACCTTAAAGGGACATGCTTTAATATAGAAATTGTGGTCTTAAAGTAAATTAAAACATTCTCCTCTGGCTGTTGGCATGCACTTTGATTTCCTACTTGCATGAACAAGTTGTTGATTCAAAGGTTGTGGGTTCAAGTCCCACCGGAGTCATTACTTTGAAGAGACAGACGTTCATATAGAAATTGTTGACCTACTGTACATTAATCTAAATTAAAAACTTACAGTAATGTACATTGTTCTTTCATTATAAATAGACTCCTTTAGATACTGGCTTTATTTCCTCTTTGACATCTGTGTAAATGGTGCCTTTAATGGGTTTGTGTTTACTGTGTGTACGAGTAAAATTGAGATGAACAACCAACTGATTTCTTTGTTACGACTTTGTAAGTGTGTATTGTGTGAAAGACGAAACTTTGTGAGTCTGAATCTGTGGTGCATATGGCTCTGTGGCGCAATGGATAGCGCGTTGGACTTCTAGTCAAACACTTGAGATGTTATTCAAAGGTTGTGGGTTCGAGTCCCACCAGAGTCGTTGCTTTAAAGCGACAGGCTTTAATACAGAAATTGCTGTCTTAATGTAAATTAAAAACATTCTCCTCTGGCTGTTGGCATGCACTTTGATTTCCAACTTGCATGAACAAGTTGTTGATTCAAAGGTTGTGGGTTCAAGTCCCACCAGAGTGATTCCTTTGAAGAGACAGACGTTCATAAAGAAATTGTTCACCTACTATACATTCATCTAAATTAAAAACAC